CCCCAAAACCCCAAAACCCCAAAACCCCAAAACCCCAAAACCCCGGTCAATATAAGGAAAATTGGAATAGGATTTTATAATAATTAAATGAATAAATATTTAATTGCAGTCATAGCCTTGCTGTTGGTGACTAGCAGCGCTTTCAAAATTAGAGTCGCTCAAGGAAATGGACCAGGTAATGGACAAGGAAATGGACCAGGAAACGGACAAGGAAATGGACCAGGAAACGGACAAGGAAATGCTTTCGGATTAGGAAACGGCAATGGAGCTGGAAACGGTAATGGACAAGGTAATGGACTTGACACTGCTCCAGGACAAACTGATTTCACTCCTCCAGGATTAGACAACGGAGTTGTCTCAGATTCTACCGATGGTACTAACACTGCTACTCCAGTCGATGGTTCTGCTACTCCAGTTGACGACACAGCTGCTCCAGTTGGCAACACTGCTATTCCAGTCGATGGTTTTGCTGCTCCAGTCGATGGTTCTGCTGCTCCTGTTGATGGTGTTGCTGCTCCTGTTGATGGTGTTGCTGCTCCTGTTGATGGTGTCGCTGCTCCAGTTGATGGTGTCGTTGCCCCAGTTGATGGCACTGCCACTCCAGTTGACGAAGACATTACTGCTCCAGTTGGTAATGATTCAACTCCACCCCCAGCCGATGATGATAGTGATACTGGATTGTTCGGAGGACTCTTCGGTGGAGACAACGATGATAATAACACAGGCTTATTTGAAGAAGATGAAGACGAATCAGATCTTTTGGCTGAAGAAGATGATTCTGGAGCCTTAGGCGGAGATGCTCTAGGAGAAGACGATGATGATGTTGTTGGAGATGATGGTGATGACCTCGGGGATGATGACCTCGGAGACGATGACCTCGGAGATGATGACCTCGGAGACGATGACCTCGGAGACGATGACCTCGGAGACGATGACCTCGGAGATGATGACCTCGGAGATAATGACCTCGGGGATGATGACCTCGGAGATAATGCCCTCGAAGACAATGACGAAGATGATGATCTCTCAGGCGACGACGATGGTGATGATCTTGGAGACAACGATGATGATGACCTTGTAGACGACGATGGTGATGACCTTGGAGACGACGATGATGTTCTCGGAGACGAAGATGATGTTCTTGGAGGAGATGATGAAGATCAAGATGATAACGACGATGATGTTAATACCAGCGAATAATCAAACAATTATGTTGCGAAACATAAATGTAATAATCTAAAAATTCAAATTACCCTGTCTTTCACGCACTAGTTTTAGGCGTGAGCTCTGTTCCCTGCTTCTGGAGCTGTAACCTAGGAATTAAGAAGAGTTAAGATCATTCTTTTTGAGCTCAAATAATTAGATTCTATTGTTTATTTTTTGGTGCCAGATCATTAAATTTTTAAATTTTTAGTATTTTGGCTAAAACTAGACGGATCTTTGGCAATCCATTTGGCCATTCTGCATTCACCATTTCTTCCCAAGGTAGGTAGGTCTACAGAAGGTAGGAATGGGGGAAACTAATTCATATTTAAGTATAGCTATTCTTGGTTTAAGTTAAAGCTTTGATATGCTCTGTTTTCGTGTTCAATTAAAATTTCTAACCGAGGAAAATATTCTTAGGATCTGAATTTTGAGAGAGCATTCTTAGGTATAGTTTTACTCAATAGAACCCAGCCTGGCTTGTTCCCTGATGAGCCCTAGTGTTGATAGATATCTTTGGAAGCAAAGTTATACCTTGCGAGAAGCCAGAGGCTTGCATTTTAGTTAGGTCTCCATTAAAAATAGTAGTACAGTTTCTCTGACTCTTTTGAGATCATTGAGTATCTTATTGTAAGTAAAGCCAGGAAAATGAGTAAGTTTGCCTGATTTTTAGTATTTTTAGATGCTAGTAATATTCTCTTCTTTGGCAAAGATCTTGTATATTGTTAATTAATATCTAACTTTGAATGGAAATGGAAAACGATGAGTAGATAATTCTTGTCTAGATGTACTTTTGCATTGCATCAACTAGCGCTACATTAAGCCTTAATATAAGAGCAAGTGTTGGATCTGCATAAGCCTAGATTAACCATAACTCTTTGCTCATAGTCTTGCTAGAACTCTTTTACCATTTCCAAAAATGGTGTAAGCAAACCTCTATTTAGAATATTATAATCCCATGTCTGGTCCAAGGGGTTTTGGGGTTTTGGGGTTTTGGGGTTTTGGGGTTTTGGGGTTTTGGGG